CCCCCCCGGCTCCTCCCCACCCCCAATTCCCCTAGCTCTCAGCACAGCTCCCACGCCAGCACCTGGAGGGGCGAGGGGGTGAGAACTGTGTGCCCCCCCAGACTCCCACTGCCCCCCAGGCTCCCCTCCCCCCCCCCAATTCCCCTAGCTCCCGGCACAGCTCCCACGCCAGCGCCTGGGGGGATGGGGGGTTAGAGACCGTGCGGCCTCCCCAGATCCACCCACAGCCCCACTCCCAACTCCTCCATGGCCCCCCCTTTCCCCACAGGCCCTCCCTCTCCTTCCTGTCCCCCCCAGTCCCCTCCTCACCTCAGCTCCAGGTCCCCGGTGGGCGGGCGCCGCTCTTCTCCGGATGAGGTGGGGTCTCTCCCCCGGCTCCAGCGGGTACTCGGGGGGCAGCTTCCCCGTCAGCTCCTGGGGGCGGGCAGGGCCACAAGCATTAGGAGAACAGCCTACTGTCGCTACGCAGCTAAAGGCGGAAGATAACAACCTACTGCTGCTGGAGGGGAGGGGATGGAGAAGGATAATAGCCTACTACAGGTATGCGGCTAACAGAGCTGCATCATTAGATTGCGGGGGGGGGCGCACTCCAGGTTGTGGGTTCAAATCACACTGAGGATGACAACCTACTGCCGCTGATGGGGGAATGGAGAACAACCTACTAGAGCTAGACAGCGAATGAAGCCGTGCCATTAGATTGAGGGGCAGCATAGGGAGCCGCTCCAGGTTGTGGCTGGAGACCAAGGATAACAACCTACTACCGCTGATGGGACGGAGCAGGATAAGAGCCTACTATGCCTGCGCAGCTCGCGGCATGGCTCCCTCCGATCTAGAGGGGACAGTCTGGGTTCAAATCCCCCTTGGCACTGAAGGAGAGAACAGGGGAGAGACAGAGAAGGATAATAGCCTACTAGGCACTGCATTAGCTCCCAGGCTGGGGATGGGGGCGTCCCGGATACTCACAGCCTCCTGCAGGCAGAGCCGGCGCAGCTCGGCGACCCGCAGCCCCAGCGTCTCCCGCAGGCCCCGCTGCCGGTCCAGCAGCTCCTGCAGCCGGAGACGGGCGCTGGGTTCCCGCCCCAGGACATCTGCGCGGGAGGGGGGGGAAGAGGAGACGGGGGTCAGAGCTGAGGGGGGGGAGGGATTATTGGGGGTGGGGGAGATGGGAAACAGGGATGGGGAGGGGTCGGAGTTGGTGTGTGTGGTGGGGGGGGAGGACGAGGAGGAGTGTGGGTGTCACAGCCGGGAAGGGCTATTGGGGC